TTTACCCGGCCACAAAGCTTACCAATACCAACACCGATCAGACCGCCAGAATGACAACAAGCCACAGATGCACGTTGTAGAAGAAGATGATGAGATCATTACTGCGGTGGTCTCAGAAGTTAATCTAGTGGAGAACAGTTCAGAATGGGTAGTTGACACTGGCGCTTCGAAGCATTTCTGCGCAAGGAAGGAGTTTTTCATCGAGTTCGAGGATGGGAACACTGGTGAACGTGTGTACATGGGGAACTCTAACAGTTCTGAAGTGCTACGCAAAGGCAAGGTTTTACTCAAGCTGACTTCTGGTAAAACTCTGGCTTTAAATAATGTTCTGTATGTACCTGTCTTGTGTAGAAATTTGATAAGTGGTGGGCTTCTGAATAAGGCAGGCATTAAGTTAGTTTTTGAGGCAGATAAACTTGTATTTTCCCGAAATAGTGATTATGTGAGGAAAGGGTTTTTAAGCAATGGTTTATTTGTCATAGAAACTCAATTTAATGAAAATAAAGCTACCACTTATGTTTATATTGTTGAATCCATTGATATGTGGCATGCTAGATTAGGATATGTGAATATTCATGCTTTAAAGAAATTAATGAATATGGATGTTCTGCCTAAACTAGACACAACTAGCTTTAATAAATGTGAGAATTGTGTAGAAGCTAAGCATACTAGACCTCACTTTAAGACTGTTTCTAATAGAAAGACTGAACTGTTAGAACTCATTCATACTGATCTAGAAGATTTTAGAAACATTGAAAGTAAAGGAGGAAAACACTACTACATAACTTTTGTAGATGATTATTCAAGATATACAAAAGTTTATCTCCTAAGAACTAAATATGAAGCTGAAAACTTCTTTCTTATTTATAAGGCAGAAGTAGAAAATCAGTTAGATAGGAGAATCAAACGGGTTAGATATGATAGAGGTGGTGAATATGGATCTAATTTCTTAAAAGATATTTGTGAAAAGAATGGCATAATTCATGAAACTTCAGCCCCTATTTTCCTCAACAGAATGGTATAGCCGAAAGTAAAAATAGAACTTTAAAAGAGATGATGAATTCTTTACTAATAAGTTCAGGGTTATCTGATAACATGTGGGGGAAGCCATTCTATCGGCAACTCATATCTTGAACTGAGTTCCTCATAAGAAATTAGATTCTACCCCATATGAATTGTGGAAAGGATACGCTCCTAATTTACAATACCTGAAAGTGTGGGGGTGTCTGGCTAAAATGGGTTTGCCAGACTTTAAGAAGTCCACCATCGGACCTAAAACTGTTGATGCAGTGTTTATAGGGTATGCTACGAATAGTGATGCATACAGATTCATGCTTTTACAAGATTATTCTATTTGTGAGTCAAGGGATGCTGTTTTCTTTGAAAATACATTTCCTTTAAATGAACCGAGAATGAATATTGAAAAACAAATAGAATATATTCCATCCACTTCTTCTAGTAATTCTGCTAGGTCTTCTGAACAAATTGATTTCGAGCCTAGAAGAAGTAAAAGGCAAAGAGTTGAAACCTCTTTTGGACCAGACTTTATTACTTCCTTTATTTTTGAGATAAATGATTTAGACTCTATTTCAGATCCTATAGCTCAAATTTTTCTGTTAGATGAGGATCCTAAAACTTTTGAAGAAGCTATAAGATCTATCGATGCTAGTTTTTGGAAAAGCGCTGTTAATGATGAACTAGAATCGATAATGTCTAATCATACTTGGGAATTAGTTGACTTGCCTAAGGGATTCAAATCAATCTCCAATAAAGGGGTCTTCTGGAAGAAACTAAGGCGAGATGGTTCGATTCAGCGGTACAAGTCAAGGTTAGACGTCAAAGGGTTCACTCAAAGGATTGGTTTAGACTACTTTGATACATATTCTCTTGTTACAAAAATCTCAACGATTCGTGCATTATTTGCACTAGCCTCTATTCATAAGTTGCAGGTACATCAAATGGATGTTAAGACTGCTTTCTTGAATAGAGATCTAGATGAGGAGATTTACATGGAGCAGCCACTAGGTTTTGAAGAACCTGGTATGGAAGGCAAAGTCTGTAGACTCAAAAAGTCACTCTATGGACTTAAGCAAGCACTTAAACTGTGGTATGAGAAATTTCATAAAACTATTCTTAGTATTGGTTTTATTGTGAATGGTTCGGATACTTGTGTGTATTCAAAGATGTTTGATACTGAATGTGTTATCATAAGTCTTTATGTTGATGACATGTTGATTTTCAGTTCTAACATTGAGTCCATTAACAAAGTTAAAAAATTCTTGTCCACTAAGTTTGAGATGACAGATTTGGGAGAAGTAGATGTAATCTTAGGAGTCAAAGTTACCAAAACTGAGAAGGGATTTTCTTTATGTCAAGCACATTATATAGAGAAAGTGCTAAAAAAATTTGACAGTTTTGATGTCGTCCATGTTCGAACTCCTTATGACCCTAGCATACATCTAGTTATGAATAAAGGAAGTAGCGTTTCCCAAACTGAATATGCTAAGTTAATCAGAAGCACGATGTTCTTAATTAACTATACTCGGCCTGATATTGCTTATGCTGTGAGTAGACTGAGTAGATATACTCATAATCCGAGTGGTAAGCATTGGATTGCTCTTAACTGCTTACTGAAGTATCTTAAAGGTACTTTGGATTGAAAACTTGAGTTTGTTGGCTTTACTGCGGTACTAGAATGATATTGTGATGCCAACTGGGTTTCTGATAATGATGAGGTAAGCTCTACGAGCGAGTATGTTTTTACTTTGGGTGGAGCAGCAATCTCGTGGAAATCATCAAAGCAGACTTGTATTGCTCGTTCTACTATGGAGTCAAAGTTTATAGCTCTTGACCTAGCTGAGCAAGAAGCCGAGTGGCTCAGAAGTTTGTTAGCAGATATTCCGTTGTGGGGAAGACCGACTCCTCCAGTTTCATTATTGTGTGATTCACAAGCTGCGATATGTGTGGCTAAGAACCAAGCTTACAATGGTAAGAAAAGACACATTCGTATAAGACATGAGTCAGTGAGACACTTAATAAAGAATGGAGTGCTCTCTTTAGAGTATGTGAAGTTGGAAAGGAACCTAGCAGATCCACTTACCAAAGGGTTAAGTCGAAAGCTGGTCCTAGATTTTCGAGGGGGATGGGTCAAAAGCCCATTGGTTGAGGAATTCATGGTGGATACCCAACTTAGTTATCTAAGTTCCTTATGGTCAAACGAAACCATGGAAAGACTCATAGTGCACATTCCTACTGCCTATCCCTATGACGAATAATGTGCATGCCCAGGATGAGCTTAAGTGCTCTTAATAAATTCATAGCCCAGGCTTTGGGTGGTCTTAGTGAGAAAGACTTGATGAATTTACCGATTTTGGCTGAATATCTATTCTTAATAAGTTCATAACCCAGAGTGAGTGGGTAGGAAATGATGAACTTACCTACAGAAAGGTTGAGTTTGTTAAACTCTTAATAAATTCAAATCCAAGTATTTGGATGGTTCTAGTGAGAAGAACTTACTGAATTTACCGATAAATGAGGTTGAATATTTATTCTTAATGACTTCTTAGCCCAAAGTTTGGGTGGTTCATTAATAATGAACTTGAAGAAAGTCATCATACCCTTTGTGAGGTTGAGCTATTATTAAAGCTCTTAATTATTTCATATCCCTTTTTAAAGGGTGGTTTATGTTGAGATAAACTTGATGAAATAACCTATGTAAGTGAGAAGGGTTAGCGCCTTCTATGAAAAATGTTGGGCCATTTTCTAGCACACTTACTAGAATCCTGAGGTAAGATGGCTAAATATATACTTTGTATATATATATCTTACACATCGAGGACTCATGTGGATAAAGGGGTTAGTTCTGTGTTATGAGTTTACCCTAATCTTAGAAAGTTCCAGACTAGTTTCACTTATCTAAGAGAAGGATTGCTCAACATCACTATGTACTAGTTCCAGATACGTTCACTAGTGCTTAAGCAACTAATCTCGCTATTGCTCTTCTGGAAAGTTTGTTTTCGAGTTTCAGAAGATTTCTTTCGCATTAGTGGGGGAATGTTGGTAATGCTCAATCCCACATAGTATTGGAAACACTATTGGGAATAGTATTTAAGGGTTGGTTTTCCCACTTCCTTGTTGAGTGATAGAGAACAAGGGGGACTCTCGCGCACCGCTGCCGCCGTCCGTCTGTCTTGTCTCGGCTCGTGGTCGTGGTCGTGGTAATACTTGTCTTCGACACGTCCGCGCGGATACTATCTTTTTAGAGAAAATTCTTGAAGAATTTCTCTTTGAATGAAACAAATGGAAAAATGTGAAAGATTTCAACTGATATTTATAGGCTGCTGATGACTGCTTAATTTCAAATGATAACACCTGGTTTATGAGAAATTAAACAGCTTTTCCTAAATTAAATAAAAAACGTTAAGATGTATCTGGACTGATTTCCAGCTTTGTACAGAGGAGACAAGCTGTTAATATCAGGAGTTACAGGAGTTATTTGATTTAATTTCATGGGTTACATGATATAATTTCGGGAGTTATAACAACTGAACAATGATGCAATGAACCTGGACTATTTTTTAGTCAGGTTCATCTATACGTTTCAGCTGTTACAAAAAGAAGAGATTTAATCCTGAAATTTTATGGACGATTTTAACCCTATTCCTAGCCTATAAATATAGGGTTATATTCAGCTTCTCAACTCACTCTCAAACATTAACAATTCACTTACAAAAGTGTTTTCTACAATTCTCTCTGTGAGTTCTCTCTGAGTGTTTTCCAATCAGAAGAGCAATACCACCAGCAGTCCACTCCGGTTTTGGGTGTACGAAATTTGGAGCGACCGTGTTAACCTCGGGGGACGGCCGCCTACTGTAACGATTACACATATCGGGGCGAATTCGTTTCTAAGGCAGTGGTTTTTACCACGACACGATTTACAAATTTGTTCCTTTTAATTACTGTTTATATTTCCAGTCAATGCTAACGGTGTAGTTTTGCAGTTCATATATCCAACATCTCATTCTTCACCGGTAACAGCAAAGGCTAGTTCTACTTCAAAACCGGCCCCGATGATTGTGTCGTTGCTTCCGAAACGGTCTCGATTGGTCTACCGGAGGCGGTCAGAGGGTCAATTGTCACAAGGAAACAATGTTAATGCTGTAGAACTGCCTGCTAACAAGACGATGATTACTTCAAGGAGAAGCTTATCCGTTTCATTTCAAGGTGAGGTTTTTTCACTTCCCATTAGTAAGATAAAAGCTCAAGAGGGTTCCAGTTTGACTAGGAAAGCTATTCCCGAAAGGCGTCGAGCTAGCCCAGTGATTGATCACGGGGAGAATTACACGTCGGTGGATCCTAGGAAAGCCCGAAAAGCGAATTCGGGTTCGAATTTGTTGTCTAAGAGTGTTTCTTTTGTTAGTCCTTGTGTTAGGAGGTCGAGTTTGGATGTAGGAGGTCCTACTGAGATGTTTAAAGAAACTAATAAGCTAAAGCCAAATGTTGCCGCTTGCGATCTAGCTGCATCCGATACCGATAGTGTGTCCTCCGGGAGCACCAATTCTGGTATGCAAGAATGTGGAGGAAATGGTCTTCTGAGAGGGAGGAGTGTGCCCCGGAATATTGGAGTGTCTGCGAGGTTTTGGCGGAAAATAGCAGTCGGCTAAGGCAGTTGCAGTCCCCTGCTTTTTGTGCTAGCCCTGGCTCTAGAATTGGTGGTTCGGCTGAGTTTATTCAGTCGAAAAGGTTATCTACTGATGGTGCTATGACTTCTTTGTTTACAATACCTGCTTCTCCTATTCAGCTTTGGACATCTTCAGCTTCATCTTGGTCGAGGGGGCTAAGTTCTGCTCGGTATGAAATGTGGTTGGTGATAAGACGATTGGTAATTCTATCGATACTCCGTTGAATCCAAGCTTTTTCATTGATATTCGGAGAGGAAAGAATGGGGAGGACCAGATAGTCGATGCTCGCGTTTTAAGGCTTCTTTATAACATATACTTGCAATGGAGATTCACAAATGCAAAGGCATATGCCACTTTCATGACACAGAAGCTGAGTGTAGAGGTATGGATTTCTTGCCTTTCAATCTCATTGTTCTCGAATAATAGTTGGTTCGATATGAAAACGAACTAGGTCTAGAAAACAATACATTTGAGCTGAGGTTTAACATCATGGTCTCTAATACTTCTGGTATGTCTGCATCCGATTTCACTTTGTTTTGCATCAGAAATACCTATGGAGTGCTCGGGTGACAACATCGGAACTGGGCACTTGGTCAAGCTAACAAGAATCAAGTTGCTGTTACTTCTTCGTATTTCTTAAGTATTGAATCTGTTCCTCATAGTCCTTCTCATACACACATGGTTTTTACCTTCATATTAATCATGATGTACATGTAATTCAAGCGCAGATAGCTCATTTAGAGGCGTGGACGCTCCTCGAACGAGATCACTCTTGTTCTTTGCGACAAGCGAGTGAAGCTTTAAAGGCGAGTACTCTTCGCCTTCTGATTGTCGGAAAAGCAATAGTAAGTTTCTTCCCTTTTCCCCCTTGCTTTTGATATATGATCTGTTCTTGGTTCAGTTTCATAGCTATCAGTAGGGTTTAATGTGCTACTCTTGCTTCTCTTCCCTTCCTTCGTTCTCTCGTAATAGGCAGATATCGAAAATATGAAGAATGTTTAGTTTGGCGGGTGACGTGCTGCAGGCGATCACATCCTCAACTTGCACACTATCGGCGAAGGTAAAAGACCATGAAAGAAACGGTTTTGCTCTAACAATGTAACGACTTCCAGTCCGCGTTAGCGGCCATTCAGGTAAAACTACTGCATTCTGGTTAAGTTCCCATGCTATTATCTGCTCATATGGCTTATTGGAATCAGTATTTTCATCAGGTTAAAGACTGCAGCTTGAGGACAAAGAATGCAACTAAATCATGTATCGAACTGATCTTGTTTCGACTACTCACCCTAAATGCTAACATTCCACCCGAAAGACCGCGTTTTCTTTTCCGATGGGTCGAGACCGCGTAGGACAAAAACAAGAGCTGACTGAATCTAGCCAGGTTTGGCTTCTCATTTTAGCAGTTTTGGTAACCCATTATCATTTATTTATTGGCCTACTTTGATTAACCATTCAAACTTGTTTAAAAGCCAAAAAATTCAAATAAAATCATAAAAATGAAAAAATACCCTAAAAATATTGGGGTCAAACTGAAAATCTGGGTGAATTACAGGAATCAAAAGTGGTATTAAGCCATATATATAGATAGACACACATCTTCCATAAGCAAAACAAGTATGCTTCATTTTGCTAAATTAACATAAGACCTAAGCTCTTGAGTTTACATTTTTCCATTTTAGCTGAACCGATAGTTTCTGATGAATCTGAAAAACTAGTCTGACAATGGCTTCCTTTGCTTGACCAGACCTTTTTAAACATCCGCGTTGACTTCAGCGAGCTTTTCACTTTAGTAATGGCACTGTTTCCAAACATTAAGGCACCATTGAGCTCATCGGATGTTACCGGTGCATCCCGGTCTTTCACAGGGTTGGTTGCTGCTGCCTTTGTGCGCCCATGAGACCCCATCTTTAGACCCTTCCGGTCTTTGCGAGTGTTACCGCCCGATGAAGCAGCGGCCCGGACCTGATCGAATAACACAACCTGCATAACTACACGCGACGGGAGTCTCTCGTTTCGAACCGCATGCATACATGCATCGACTGATAGTTTCTTGCAGTCAATTAACTCGCATATACTTGTTCTCTCACTTTTGCTCAACATTGGGTGCTCCGGCATGGAAACAGAATACGCTTAGGTGCATTTGGTTCGCGAAATCTTACATTATGGAATTTTTTTTCCGGAATTGTATTCCCGTTTGGTTCACAGAATCTTACATTACCGGAAATACTCTTTTTTTAATAGTAACATTTTTTGGTTAAAATGGTGAGAATGTCATTACCTCCAAATTCTTAGGTAATCTTACATTCCCACACTTTGAACAAGAATATCCTTGAACTAATGAATTCTTTTTATAATGATCATTCTAAATTCTTATTTTTTATACTTTACTCAAAATTATAAAAATAATAATAATATAAAAAGAGTTTAATTTACTAAAATATTAAGAATTTTAAGAATTTAAAATATTTTATATTTTTAATATTCAATATTTTACTATTTATAATTTTATGGATGAAAAAATAGTATTATTGTAAAAATCTAATTATTTAAAATAATATTTTACTACCATAATATTTTTTATATTATATTATATTTTATATAAATAAATATGATACTAATGAACATTATTTAAAAATATAAATTTAATATACTAATTATATTAATTATATATTAAATGTAATTTCTCCTCAAAAGTTAGATAGTATAACGATTAAAATATTTTTATGAATTTTCATTCAAATATTTATAAATTAATATTAAAGTTTAACTTTAAAAAATATATATCACAAGGATAATTTGGTAAAATATGCATCTAAGTAATCTTATATTCCTCCAACCAAACACTATAATCTTACATTTTTGCTAAACAAACCAAACAAAGTAATACAATATTCTCATAGTAATGTTACATTCCAGTAATGTTATTCCCAAATATAATCTTACATTTTGTGAACCAAACGCCCCTTTAGAATTGGTTTGCCTTTGTCTATGTTACTCGGACTCGGGAGTCAGTGTCGGATAAGGGTATATGTCCCACATGTATGTTCGGCCAATGTCGGATACGAGTATTACATTCGAGTACTTCAAGTGAAATAATTTGAGTTGGAACAGCATGAACCTTTTATAATAATAACAGAGTTGCAGACATTGACTAGTTCAAAAAGTCCATTGATGTGCATTGAAACTGATGGGGCTTTGGTAAGATTCTCACCTTAAGATACATGTCAATGGCTCGGTAAAGCCGCTCATGATTCGGTCGGGAGATTCCGGACACCAATTCAGCAAGGTCTACAAACTTTGACAACGGTAAGCTGGGATCCTTGGCAATTTCAGCGAGGTATGCATCTATCAATTCTGTTAAAATTCCAGGTCTTTCTATTTCCGGGACCTTGTTTTATTCCGACTCTAATTCGGAATTCTGATCTTGCCTCAGAAACTCTTGCACTATTTTCAGCACCACATCAACATTATACATTTCATCTTCACCTTCTGCTGTTCGTATCAAATGATCGTTCACGGTAGCCTCCTTCAGTTGCTGTCCAATTCGGCGGACCAGCACTTCAGTATCCGTCTCTTCTGAGTCGACGATGATGGCAGCTTTCAACAACTTCAGCAAGAAACTGCATTATACACATCCTCTCTCTGCAGGCAACAACCAGATGATTGTATCAACTGATCGATACTTCGCAACATCCCTCGAATAGATAACACCCTTACTAAAACCTGGCAATCTTATGTATGAATAAGCTTTCAATGCTTCTCCAATCACTTCACGTGACAGTATTCCTTTGGTTTTTGAAACTTTTTTTTTTAGCCGAATTATTCAAATTTCTATACATTTAATTATAAATATTTATAATGTTATTATACTATTTGATTCCAATTACAACAATTTTCTGTAATCATATATAATATATATATATATAATTTGTTATATTTTTTTCATACGTGATATACATATATCATGCAGAGTTGAGGAACTTGATTTAAACTTAAAAATTAATCCTCTTTAGTAATTTTTGAATTATTTGAGTTATATTTTGTAACTCGATTTGAATTTGAATTTTTTTCAATTTGAGATGAATTTAAAAAATTATCTGTGTTACTCATCTAGCTTATAGGATTTCATAAATACGATGACTATATCATTACAAATTGAAGTAAAGGGACTACATTTAAATTTTTTTTAAATAGGGATGGAATTCAAAATTATCTTTTCCCCTGCATTAATCCAAAGCCTTGTAACTAAATTGGGATGGGCCGTTATCGCAACTGATCAACATCATTACAGATCTAAGCTGAGAAGGATTGCTAAGCTAAAAGTGCCTATTTAAGAACACGAAATGATCAATAACGAATTTGAATCAAAGTTAATCTTAGTTCAACCAATGCAACAACAATTCGTATCCGACACAAATAAATGCAGATCTAACCTGAGATAGATTGCTAAACTAAAAGAACCAATCAAATCCACACAAAATGTCAACAAATAAAACGATTTAATTATAAAAAGTAAATAAATTTCAACTACTAACCGACGCCATTCACGAAGAAGGAATCCTTCCTCAGGAGCCATCTCAGTAGGAGGAAGCACAGATACACACATATACAGAAAGAGAGAGATACGGAGATACCTGAAGTAGAGAAATGGGCTGATGTCTTGATGAAATAATTGATGTGGCTTGTGATTTGTGAAGAAAGAAAAGGAAAGCAACGGAAAATAGAATTACGGTATTGCAGCAAGGGAAAGCGAGTCGCTGCGTCGTTGGCTCAATGCCTCGAACCCTCTGTGGAGAATTTACAAAGGGAATTAGCCTCTCCTTAGCAGGATTGGAATGCTAAAGGCTCTGATTTGGTTTTCTTTGCACTGTTTGAAAGAGAGCAAGAGGTAAAACTCCGTTTTCGCCTTTTCGTAATGCGTTCGTAGCCGACTCAGTGTTTGAAGGAGATGCCGAGCCCGAAGCCCCGAATTAGTGAAAGTAAAAAATAATAATAATAATAATAATGCATTAAGTACTCGGGTCGAGTAGGATTATTTTAACCTTAAACTCGATTCCGACCCAAACCCACATATTTTAATGTAAAATCCAACCCGACCCGAATCCGAATTAAAAAAAATGAATCGGATCGGAACCAGTTGGGTTTGAGTTCTATGCCCATCCCTAATGATAACCCTTCGAAACCGATATACTTGTACATAAATTCATCTGGACACAGGTTAGAAGAATGTTTCTAATTCTCGATCAGTCCCCTCAACTACTTTGAAACATTAATCCTTTTGTGACATGTCAGTATCATATACTGGAAGTTTTCATATCTATTTGTGTTGATTGATTGCTTCTGAACTATATAGGATGAGAAGATGGAGACCCGTTGGATCAGAAACCGAGGCATATGCTATAGCCGACACCATGGCTGTGAGTATCATGATAGTAAAATATTTCTGTTGATATTTATGAATTTATCTTTCATTGAATGAGGTAAACTTCCGAAGCAGTTCAATACTTTACAAGCGCGGTGTTTTTTGTTTTGTTCTACACAAGGATTATGATGGTGTCCGTTTGTCATTTTAGTTATGTTTTACGGGGAAATAGCTAAGTTAAATAGTTTGTCGATATGAGTTGTTATTGCTTTGGATTATCATTCTTATTTAGCTGTTGGATTTGATTTAAATTTAACTCCTTCACTTTTATATATCTGTATACCTGAAGTACTGCAAATCAGAGTTCTACACTGTGAATTGTGGCATGGAATTTGGTCAAGCAGCAATGCTTCTATCTCAAGGAGCTAAGGGTTATCGTGCTGTACAGCCGAATTCGTCCAGTATGATTCAATTCCACTTGTAACTTTGAAGATGGGCATAAATTATGTTGGGAAATATTTTCTTTTATTCCTACTCTAACTGAGGTTGACAATACCACCCATGAGCCTGGACTCGATTTTCACTATCTTGTTTAGATCATTTATTCAGAATTTCAAAACTTATCTCCCTACTAAATGCTTTGCTATAGGATTACAAGATAAAAAAACTTGACTATCCTATCATTTCCTTTTTCAACTTTTAATCTCCATTTTTTTGGTACGGTACTAGATGTTCATGTTCTCCTTTTCATGTTTTAAATACTTGCAGCTAAGTTATATCTACCTAAAGTTAGCAGATCAAGTGGGGCTGTCATAGATATGTGGATAAAGGTGTTCTTTTTCTCTATCCCCTTATGCTTTGTATATCTGCATGTTTGTTTTAGCTTCTTTTCTGATATATATGTATTATTTTCAGGCCAAAGAACTTGATGCAAACACTGAGTCATACATTGAGCTACTAGCAAAAGGCACAGGGAAGACCAAGGAAGAAATCGAGAAAGATATTCAGCGTCCTAAATATTTCCAAGCACAAGAAGCCATAGACTATGGCCTTGCTGATAAAATAATCGACTCAAGAGATGCTGCATTCGAGAAACGGGTAGTGTTTTTGTTACCTTTGACTTGTTCTGGCTTGGTACTTATATCTAACACTCATATCAAATGATTTTTGAGAAACATACTCATAATTTGACACTCACACTGGAGTCCGAATAACATAGTTTTTCGCCGTGCTCTTTTCCTCGAACTTCATGCACCTGTAGCCATCCTTTTAGTAAGTTGTTTTTGTTTTGTTTCTTGGTCAGAACTACGATGAGATGCTTGCTTAATCAAAAGCAATGAGGAGAGCTGCAGGTGGTCCCCAAGCGGCTCCGTCCGGGTTCAGGTGATTTAAAAGGTTGATAGCATAGCATAACCATACAACACATAAAGTGAAAACCTTTGTGCTGTCTACCCTTTGTTCACTTCATGCCTTATGAACTACCTGGCAATACTTTTTCTATTGTTTGTGTTTTATGCATCGTCATAGATGACGTTGTTATATAAATTTTGGTAGGCTAATGAGTCATGGTATATAAGATTTCAACATATTTGTGCATTCTTATTAGGACCTGGAAAGGAATTTCTAGATTCAATCAGATACTGAATAATTCGAATCCGAAAATATCTGAACCCAAAATTATCTGAATTGCATCTGTTTCGGGAAACTAAACCGACATGTTTGTCAAGCACAAAAAATAGTTGGGTTAGTTAATTTCTGTAAGTTTGATGCCAAGGTGAAGAGTCGACCATCAGCAGATTGCGTTCATATTCTCCAAAACCACTGCAGTTCTTTCAACATGCTTCAAAAAGTACTTCATATATTTTGTTCCTCACCCTTCCATATGCTTCGAATTTGGGACCTCGCGATGTTGATTTGCCATCGCTGCCCATCGTATCTAACCAGTCGTTCAATCTCTTGATCTGACACATTGATTCAGCTACCTGACTATGAGGTACATTTGAAAGGCATTCATTATAGAAACAGCCTAAATAGTTCTCTATATAAGCTAGAAACCATGTTTCACATTCATCTTGCAATGTATCTGCAAGGTTTCTAGCTATATTCAAGGTACTTTCATTCGCCCAATTTGGTAGATTTTCCTTCTCGGCTGCCAAAGCAGAGTGAAATTCACCATTGCTCCTTTGCTTCGTAATCGTATAACCACCTTTCGGCATCGTAATCTGACATGGTTGTTTTGTGTTTTTCGCTTCATTTTTACCCTCTTTGGTTCCACTTGTAGAGAGTGGGACAAGATCAGATGCCACAGCAGCTTTGACCCATGTGATTGCATTTCTCGATCGGTCAACGGCTAGTTTTAATGCTTCCCTGGATGAACCGGGACTAATTAGATCACAATCAGCCATTCTTTGGGGACTAATATTGGTTAATGACTGAACAATTGTTCTGCACTGAGTCATGGAGTCTTGCAGCTTGAAGAACTTGTTAATTGAAGGATGTTGATCTTCTTTCGCCAACCGCAGCTCCGAAAACTTGCTGAAAAAAATATTAAAGGAATTTAATGAAATTTCCAGCCATTGCAGACCCGAGTACAACTCAGTTGTATATTCGGATATGGATACTTCGAGAAAAATGAAAACTCGGGTACATTTCCTTACTTTAAGCACTTGAGCAATTTCTCAGTAGCAGCAGCCTCTTGCAAAGCTTCAACAGCAGCCAGCAAAGTGGCATCTCTATGCCTTGTACTTCCTGCAGATATGTTAAAAAAGGTTATGGGATTTTAAGGGCAGGTAAAGCGAAATAAAGGGCCCAAAAAAATACTGAACTCGAGTAAAATGGGAATACCTTCCCTAGTTTGACTAAAGAAGAAGGAAGGGTATCCCATAACATCTCAGTTTCTTCCCATATTTTGCTATTGGATGAATCTCTTTTCCTTGCTTCAGTCCAAGGCTCTGTAATTGTTCTCCTAGGGGTTGAAGAGTTCCAACTTTTGCTTGTACTTTTAATTGGTTTTGAGGATTGACTAACATCTTTTATCCCTACTTTAGTGTTTGAATTATCATCGTGGTAACTGAAAAATCTAGCAGACCCAACCGATGAAGCCTGTAAAGTTAGAAAAAGAAGTATATATTGGCTTATTTTGTATAAAAAAGGGATACAAAAATATTATTCGAACCTTAAATTTTGTTACATGCAAGTTCATTTTTCTCGAAATATCCTTACGATATTTGGTTAAATGTGTGTATAAATATAGCACAAACATCAGGCATAACATGTGTTCTCATGTCCAAACTTAACATTCACTCGAGTTCAACCATCTGATATATAGTTAGATATGCGTATAAACGCAAGACAAACTTCGAAAAATTTGAGCATACCACGTAGGACATATGTTCAAATCCAACACTCATCCAAGTTTAACCATATGATATTTAGTTAGATATGTGTATAAATCATAGTCACATGGATCGCGGTACACTCGGTACGGGAACGTGGAACGGGATCGCAATTCGCTAGTCCCTAAAATTCGGTCGAGGGGGTAGACTTATTTCGGATCGCTTCGGTATGATGTACCAGTTTCTTAGGTTGCTATTTTTCTACATCAAATTTTATAAGTAACTATAAATAGTAGGAATAAAATAAAAGAAATTAAAACTTCCTTAATAACTGAAATAACACATAAAAAACAGGGATTTAAATAGATATTTACCATTAACCAGAAACAAATATAAAATTGAACAGGTAAACTTAGAAATAAATCAGTGACCTAAGTACAAAATGAGCATAAGTTACAGGGTCCTATATACAATTTATCAAATTCGATTTAATCTAAAATAATATGTAAAATAACATAAATGGTACCTAAGCATTAAAACAAAATCAGAAAATTGGGACGAATTAGGGACCGTTTTATAAACATTCACTAAATTACAAGGCCTAAACATAATTTACCCTAAGATTACGGTGACTAAATCCTAATTTAACCGAAAACCTAACTAAAGGTATTAAAATACCCAAACTCAGCCGCCTCTCTCCAACTCTCCCTCTCTTTTTTTTATAGGAACCCGACTCTCCTATCTTCTTCTTCGATCATCGACAGCCGCCACGCCAAGGTTAGTTTCGCCTCGTTCATTATCTTCTTCAGCCTTAAACCGACCCTGTCGTTCCCCCATTTCCTCTCCCTCAAGCTCTTCTTTAACACTCGACGAAACCCAAAGCCTTCATGCCATCCGTCCTCCTACGCTCCGATGAGGAGCTAGGACTCCATCTAAACCCAAATCTCGTACCGAATCGCGATTTTGAAACGACTGAACGCATTTTGAAACGACTGGAACGCGTTTGTACTGCGTTTCGGATCGCTTCGTACGGTACGCAGATCGTGGGCTGTTGAGCGATTTATGTGACTGGTATAAATACAAGACAAAATATCGGAAAAAAAATTAAGCATACTATATAGGACACGTCTGACATTCACCCGAGTTCAGCCATTTGATGTATAGTTAAATATGTGTATAACAAATGTCCAGAAGATTGGGCAGATCATGTAGGATGCATGTCTAAATCAGACACTCACCCGAATTCAACCATCTAATATGTATAGTTAGATATGTATATAAATACAAGACAAACATTGAAAAAATTGAGCATACCATATAGGACACGTCTAAATCTGACACTCACCCGAGTTCAACCATCAAGCTATGGGATAAACTTAGAATGATATGCAGAAAGAAAAGGTCCAGGAAATGAGACATACATGAGAATTAGAACTATGTAAACCCTGTTTCTTTCTTGAATTGTTAAGACCATGAGTCCTGGTTCTACAGTTTAGTCCCCCGATACTTGCTCTTCGGTTCCTCAAGGGTGCCTTATAAGGACTTATAGACCGAGCCCTTTCACTTCTTTGTTGCACCAACAATGGCGTTTCCATTATATCCATGCCAATAAGATCTTTGGGATACTTATCAAATGGCTTTTTCCCTGGAATTGGCCTCAACCCTTTAAGCAACGGAACTGGATAGGCCGATTCCAATTCCTTCACGTATATGAACTGCCCGATATGCAACTTGTTGTTTAGAATCATTTCGTCTTGTTCTTGAGGCAAAGAAACAAACACTTCGTGGGTTGAATCCGAGACTTTGATGACGAAGCCCGTTTAGGCCAAAGATCGCCTTCTGATAACATTGGGATTATGCTTATGATCTGTAACAAGACGGGTCTCTTGTGATGAGGATCTTCACGATAATTGATCGTTGTTTTTTCTTGAACGCCCATGGTTGAAAGAAGATTCAAAATGACCCCAGATTGCAGATTTTCCATGCTTCTTTCAAAAGCGATTAGGATTCCAAAAGTGAATGGAATGTGGTGATAATGATTTTGGGGTTTGGAAAGCGATTAGGATTCCAGATTTGTGTTTTCTTGGATGCTTGGTTTCGTGGTTGCTTAACCGCCATGAAGAGGGAACTTTAACGGTAACCCGGGGGGATGACAGGTCGGGTCAAATAGCAAGCCAAAGTACGGATTCTACCCGGATCGGCCGACCCGGCCTCCTAGTATAAATCCGGTAAACACAATTAGTTTTGTTCGTTTAAGTAACTAAATTATTTATTTTTAAAAAAAAATTTAATGTTTAGTTTTTGTATCATATTTCTAAAAATTTAATGTGTTTTGTACTTACATTATCAGTTTTGTACCTAAATTATCAGTTTTGGTCCGTTTTAGTACCTAAATTTGTAATTTTTTCAAAATTGTCTAATGTTTAGTTTTTGTTTCATTTTTGTATCTTCTTATTAAAAACTTAATGCGTTTAGTACATAAACTATCAATTTTAGTCTGTTTTAGTACTTAAATTTTTATTTTTTTCTTCAAAACTCAACGTGAAGTTTTAACGGATTACTAAAATTAAGGATGAGCAAAATTTGGCTCGACTTGAAAAATCAATTTTTTTTCAATTTCGAGTTATTCAAGTCAACTCGAATTATCAATCCGATTTTCGAGTTTGAGTCGAGTTGAAAATTTGAAATTTCGAGTTACTTGAAAAATTGAAAATTTGACTAAGTATTTTGACTACTTTATTATCTAGTCTAAAATATTATTATTCCTTCAATTCCTCCTTCATTTTTAAGTCCATTTTTACCAAATTTGAACTACATGCTCTGATGTAAGGCAGATTCTACACTCTTCAATGGAAGTGAATAGATAGCCTTATTGTTGTCCCGATCTAGGAATGACAAGTACTGATGTCCTTGAGTTATAAGTATGGTTGTAACAAAGATTATAAGAAATAGTATTAGTAATGGAATAAGAAATGGATAAGTAATAATTAGTGGAATAAAAAGTAAGAAAAGAGATAACTACGGAATTATAATGAAGTTGTTGGTGGTCTTGATGGAAGATGATTGATGGTGTTGATGTTGTATGGAAGATGGTGA